TTTCCTAACAAGTCATAGCAAGTCCCTGTGACCTAGACAAAGTACTTTCAAAATCACTTTCAGCTACTGGAAGAGTTACTTTGAAATAATTTGGCTTAATTCTGAAAATAATTCACCCCAACTAATCAGGATCGCCCCTTTAGATAATAGCATAAGGATAAAAATACATGGTAAAGATGAGATTCCTATCCATCCCGACTTGAAAAAGGTCCTACAACATTTTCAAAAGAACATTCTTCCATTTATAATCTCTAGGATTACTCTGCCAACAGTTTCCAACATTCTTGAGGTTGCAACACCCTCTCATGTGTTTGATTTCACAACATTCTCCACCTGAAAGTTCTATATATCCTTTGAAAAACAGAGTTAATTTTCTTTGGAGAATTCCAACTTTTATTTTTAGAGAACTGGAAACATCCAAAGGTATCCAAAAACCAGGGTTGGGAATCGTGGCTTGACATGATGGAAAAAAAAGTTCCTTTAAAAGGTGAACCACATTTGTTCTTGGCCAGTACAGTTATCTAGATTATCAAATACCTTAAAAAATAAATTTAGTAATCTGTGAACAGATCGGTACACTCTGGAAGAGCTTTCTCTTCAGCAATGAATTAACACTTAAATTTAAGTATAGCTGTAGGATTATTTGAAGAGCTATTTTTCAATGCAACAATCATTAAGAAAACACTTCAACATGGCAATATTCCCAAAATGAAGAGGTTAACTAGTTCTAGGTGTTTAACAAGACCATAGGGTCCCGTTTATCTAATGCCTTATATTTGACAAAGCACTTGCCTCACAACGATTCTATCGGGCAGGCCCAGAGAGGCTTGTCTATTACCAGTTTGAAAATCAGTCAGGAATCAAAACCCAAGCCTTTTCATTTTCTAATCCGGTGTCCTTTGCACTACACAACACAGGCACACTTTATTCTATTGCACTTTATTGCACTTTGCAGATACTGTGTTTTTTACAAACCTAAGGTTCATGGCAACCCTGCGTTGAGCAAGTCTAGCAGAGCCATTTTTAAAACAGCATGTGCTCCCATTGTATTTCTGTGCCACATTTTGGTAACTCTCATGTTTCAAACTTTTTCATTATTATTATATCTGTTTTGGCGATCTGCGATCTCTTATGTTACTACTGGAATTGTTTTGGGGTGCCACAAACCAGGCCCATATAAGACAGTGAACTTAATAGATACATGGTTGTGTATGTTCTGACTGCTCCACTGACCAGCCGTTCCCTATCTCTCTCCCTCTTCTTGCGACTCTCTATTCCCTAAGATACAATATTGAAATAAGGCCAAGAGTTAATGTTCAAATGTAAGAAAGTGCCACAGCCACCCCAATCTTCACCAACCACTACCCAGCTCAGTCAACAACCATCAACATCAAGGCAAGACCCCTTCACCAGCAAAAACATCAGGACTCACTGAAGGCTCAGATGATGATTAGCATTTTTTAACAACAAAGTATTTTTAATTAAGGTATGTATATTGGGTCTTTTTAGACTTAATACTATTGCACATTTAATAGACTACAATACAGTGTAAACATAACTTTTACATATGCTGGGAAACCAAAAAATTCATGTGACTCACTTTATTGCAGTGGTCTGGAACCAAACCCACAGTACCTCCAACGTATGCCTGTATTGTCTAATTTTTTCCCCTTGTTGCTTGTTATTTGTGCATATACTTATTGCAATTCTAAAAATATATAATTTATATTTTCAAATTTTTAAATTAAAAGCATGGATGTTCACATAAGACAGTCAAAGGAAGAAAACAAGCATTTTTTGAGTTCCGTGCTATGTGCCAGACATTATGCTGAGCACCTGACAAATATCTCATTGGATCCTTACAACAATCATGGGGTGAAGTGCTATTATTATCCCCATTCTACAGTCAAGGAAACTGAGGCAGAGGTTAAATAACTTGCCTAGGGTCACACAGCCAAAATGTGTCCAAATCTGGATTTGAACTCGTCTTCCTGACTCCAATCAGTGTGTTAGCCACTGCACCACCTAGCTGTCTTTTAATTTTTTTTTAAAAAGTAAATAGGTAGAACCAAGAGAATATTGGAAACAGTAAAAGCAATATTGTTCAAAGAATTACTGTGAACAGCTAACCTATTCTGACTATTATAAATATTCAGCTCAATTACAAAGGACCTATGAAGGAAGACGCTATCCACCTCCAGAGAAAGAACTGATAAATAGAAGTACAGGTAGTATGGTTTTACATACATATGTATATATAATATGCATTATATATACACATATGTACACATACATGTATGTGTGTATATACACGTCAAATGGTGGCCTTCTCTAATGCAGGGTGGGGAGGGAGAGAGGGAAACAGTTTGGAACTTAAAATAAAACAAAAAATAAATTTTAAAAACCAAATGAAACTAAAAAAAAGAAGTAAACAAGATGGGTATATAATACATGTACATTTGTCCCACACCATCAACTTCTCTTATCCATGAGTCTGTACTAAAAACCAAATGTTAGTTTCCCTGCTGGAATAGAAAACACAACCAGGTAATCAGTTCTTATGCTATTCACATAATTTTTGGTCGATATACAGTGCCAAAAATCAAAAAAACCAAAAAATATTGTAGGGAAAGTGTAGTGATGTTACTCTTTAATAGTTGCATCATACTTTTTGAAAAGCACTGTGGCATAGTAGATAAAAGAACTATCCTCTGAGCCAGGAAGACTGGATTCCAGGCCAGCCTGACAAGGTGGCTGTGGCCAGCAGCAAGTCATAGCAGACTAAGCTGCAGAAGGTGCTGAGGTAGAGGAAGTTTCCTCATCTCTGCACCAATGGTATCAAACTCAAACATAAAAAGATCACTGCAGGCAACATGACTTAGAAAACCACAAATCCACATTATGTCGCATTTTTGTTTCATTGTACATTTCCCAATTACATTTTAATATGGTTCTAGCACACTTGGGAGCAGCCTACCGGTCCCGAGTTTGACACCTCTGCGTACCGATGAAATCACAGGTCCTATTCCTATCAGACTTTTTATGAGTTTAGATTTCCAATCAATTCTCTCCAGATCTGGAGCTGAAAAGGATGTTAAAGGACATCTAGTCCAGCACCCTTACTTTACAGACTAGAAACTGAGGATCGGGGAGGTTATTGATTTGTACAACATCATACTGTTAAGTGTTCAGGCTGGCACTTGAACCTAACTGGCTCAACTCTTCACAGAGCCTTCAGAGGTTCAGAGTTTCTACCACAGATAACTGTAGTTACCAAAGGTGAAATGATGCAGTTGAGAGGGGTAGGGGGAAGGGGAAGCTTATTGCCTTCCTTAGGATTGTCTCCCTTCTCTACCCCCTCCATCCCACATCCTGTTGCTGTGCCGTTACTTACCTGTAAACATGTATCCCTCTGGCAGAACTTAAGCTCTTTAAAGCTCTCCTTTTGCACTTGTTATCCCTAGTGCCTCTCTTAGCAGAAATGTAATAAATGATTGATTGATAGAAGGGGGTGACTTTTCCTTTAAGGAGAGTGAAGCAAAGATACAGCTAAATGACTAAGATTCAAATCAGACAACTACTAGTAATCAATCGAGTGTGCTAGTATACTATAATGGAAAATGCGTTGGTCTTGGGAGTCCCGTTACATGGCTTTAAATCCTGTTTTAACACAGAGCATGGGCAAGACACTTAACCACTCGAAGGCTTAATTCCCTTATCTGTAAAATGGTCATCTCATTTTATAGAACTGAGTCTCAAATGAGGTAATCTTCACTTTAAGGTACAAAGTTCCATAAATTATTCCACTTGTAGAAATTCATTAATTAGAAAAAAATAAACTTTGCTAATATTCACATTAGCAAGAGGAAGAAATAGGGATATTAATATTGGATTAAGACTTCTCATACCCTATGTAGAATTTAACAGGAAACGATCTGGGGGAATACAACACAAATCTAGCTTTCAATAGCCAAGTGATCTGTGCAAAAGCCACTAGTGAACTATACTCACCCCTTTTTTCCTCCCAAATTACCTGAGTAAACTATGCTTGATCTACTTTTTGATCAAAAAGGCCAAAGACCTAATAGTAAAACCAAAACGACAAACTGATTTTTACTTGACAATAACATAACTCCTGATTTATAAAGGAATTTACTCAAATTCCAGTCTGTAACTGTGTACACTGCAAAAACAAGAAATATCAACTGCTATCTGTGAAAACTAGATTCATTTCTTTAGAAGGGTTGAGGACTGGGGATTGGAAGATGTGAGGGAAAACTAATAACCAGTTGTTTCTACAAAGCTTATTTATGCTTATGTGGAGGTCAACCATGAATGAAACATTTCTAAACTCCTAAGATTAAAGGGATTGATTATGAGAGCCTGGAATGAATCAAAACCAAAAATTCCGTTAACTAAAAATTTTAAAAAGTTAAAAATCTACACTGAAAACCAAACCACTACACCAACTAAGTCAATGCTTATATAACTTCCTCCACTGATCTGGAGTGCCAAAGAGGAATTAATGTTCATATATACAATCTGCTAGGTAAAAATACTTACATGTAAATAATGGCAATAATTTGTTACTCTACTTATAAATTTCCTCACAAAGACTTTTTAAATGACTTAACAGTTGCCCAATCTAGGTTACTACTAAAGAATTCAGTGTTATGACTGCATCTAACAAAAATGTGATTTGTGAAAGAGAAATGAATCCACCTACAGAAGTCATTTTAGAGAGGGGCAGGCCCAGAGTGGTAGATCACAAGCCAGCTGAAGTCCCTCTTCTAGCAACATACAAAGGCTGTGTCCTATGATGTGGGCAAGTAACTTAACCTCAGTGCCCTTGAGCAACTAACTCCAAGCCCATAAACTGCAGAGCAGATGTGAATTGCATTGGTGAAAGGCATTTCTTCAAAGAAAATTCTTATACCAATGAAATCATACATCAGTCCAAAAGAAAAAAAATAATTTTAAAATTTGCTACTAGGAGACAATAAAATTAAAAGTATGCATTTATTCATTCCATTAGCTGAGAATAGTCCTATTATACAAATACAGTAAAAAGTCAAAAAAATCACAAAATATTACAAAATAAAAAAGTACAAACTGCATTACTTAATAAATATGACTAAAAGTAGTTAAAATTGGAAACAAGATAGCTTTTAAGTTGGAAACGTTTGACCCAGCAAACCATACAAGCTCTTTTCAGATAGCTTTACATAATACCGGACAATTTCATTTTACCCTTGAAAGTATTTCAAAGGAACAAAGTACAAAGATAATATTCTCCTGTCACAATTTAATTGCTGTCAGGGGCATTTATACTGTTAATTTCAAAATCCCCAAGGTGAATCAGAGACACTTTATTATAAAAGCAGAAGACTATTATCTTGTTACCACATTTTATCCTATGTTAAAATCCTATTGTAACAAATGAAAAATAAATAAAACTGAGAGCACCAGACAATCAGAGGCCACTTTACACAGTAATCAAAGTACAGAATCACTATACCAATGAACATGGACCTCAATCAGTCAGAACAAACTTGTTCTGCCCTTCAGACAAAATGTTTTTCCTCTACCTCATTTCCTTCCCAATTTTTTTTTTTAAAAAGCTTTTCCTTTTCTTAAAGAATCCAAGAGTTTCCAATCAAGAATTTCTTCTCCTCAAGATGGAATGGATCAATTATCTGGTAACACCAATGACATCAATTTCATTTGAAAGAATAAATGTAAAGTTCAAATCCCATATAGCATAAAAGAACACAAATTCTGTACAAAATAAGCTTTATACAAAGTACTTCTCTGGGTCTCTGCCCAAAAGCCATTTGCCAAAATGAGACATCATAAATGGAGGTACACCAATCTTAAAAAATATTGTGCAAAAATACATTTTTATAGAAAATAGATTACCAGGAATAAACAAATATACACTATGAGAAAATCAGCTTGCAAATAAAGTGGTGCTAACTTTATACAACAAATTATAAATAGCATTAAGACTACTCAAGGCTATCATAAAACATCATTCAGGTGCTCTGCAACCTTCAGCTCTGGAAAAAAAAAAAATTTGTTCCAACCAAATGATTAAGGCATCACACCTACAGTAAATCTAGTGAGTTTAAAAAGTGCTGTAACCCTGATTAGAGTCAGTGTAAATTTCCAAACGCAAACCGAGCAAGCACGTCCCCCCCAGCTGCCCCTCTCAGGAGCAGGCATTCTGCTCAATGTACATTTTGGACAGGGAGATGGCCATAGACCTGGCGAGCTCTTCATCCCGCTTCCTCTGCACTTGTGTTTGCTTGCACCAATTGTCATACTCCGGGTTGGGGTACGAGTGATCGAACACAGCATCGTAGTGCCCGTTACTGAGCCAGCTCAGCCAGATGCTAGGCCGGAGCGAGTCCTCGGGGCCCAGGTAGTGGATCATGGTGGAGACCGTGGGGCTCTCCAGCCGCCCTCCCGTAGTTAAGTGGATGTTCACGTTGAGCATCTGCCCCATGGCCAGCAGCTCGGGGTAGCCGGCCCAGGCCCCGTCCTGCGCCGCGGCGATGATGAACTCGCCCACGTCGCCCTCGATGAGGGGGCCGAAGTGGTCCAGGTGGTCGGCGATGTAGTGCACGGTCTGCTCGCGCAGCTCCCGGTGCTGGCTCTGGTCGCCCGACACCGCCTTGCTCACGGCCCGGTACAGGCAGTTGCCATCGGGAATGATGTGGAAGCGGTACTTGCTCCTCTGCCGCAGGTACTTGTCCTGCCGCTCCACCTCGGCCAGGTACAGGGCCAGCTTCTCGTCCTT